GAGACCAAGACCAGTCCGAGACCACAGGGTCCCGAGACCAAGACCAGTCCGAGACCACAGGGTCCCGAGACCAAGACCAGACCAAGACCAGGGCCCTTCGAGACCAAATCAAGACCATCTTTGTCATTTCCTACGTTTATTTGTATTTTACTTGTTACAAATAATACTGCTTGTATCGCCTTGGAGCTGGTCTGTGTATAAACTTTTCAGAGGTCATATGTCTACAGATCGTACGTGTGCAGTTCAGCGCAGCTCTTTATATAACAACCGTCATTTCACACATGTGCGGTCACTTTAAGTCGGCTATAAAGATCGCAGATTAAATCAATTCTCGTAAGACTCGGTGCAGTAGTGGAGGATGGTGCGTTTGTTGTAGTAGGAGAATTTGGATCCATCAAAATGAGCGATTGCTTCTCTTTCCTTCTTGGTCCTTAGTGTTAAACTCAAGACGTAGCTCTCAAAATGTCAAGGCAAAGGAGAAGAAAGGACGAGGACTTTTCAGACTGGGCCTCTGATCTGAATTGTCACTAACTAAACCCCAGCACTTGTAGCTAACCATTAACAAGTGCCTCTGCTGCGGCTGTGTACACGTCCATGTACTGAGAGAGAGAAAAACTTGTATGTGGGCCCGGTCAAGCAGAAGTAAACAACAAGGCCAAAAATTCAAGTTAATGCATCTGATATAAAAATGTATTGAACAGATACATATGTACTCTAGTTTATGAAACTATTGACCTTTTTTCTGTACCGTTTTTGGTTCTAAAGTTCCATATGTTTTAAACAGACCATGTATGAAACATGGAACAAAAATTTTTTCCCAAATTTCAAAGACCTGAAAATCATGTAAATAAATGGATGTATTTCATCATATCTTGTGTTATTCCATCTTTGAACTGTTGATGAAGGTACATGATTTTTCCATAAAAAATGTATTCAAAATGATAAAAATTTGCTTGGAAGGACTGACATATTTTATAGAATAGTTTCCTTTCATTTTGAAGTAATATTAAAGTATTCAGAAGAAAAAAAGCGACAAATTATGTAAAATCCTGCACCTTCTACTTGCTTGAACAATTTTCCCTCCGTTACTTTTCCCTCCGTTACCATGACCTTTCTTAATAAAAAATCTCATGACTCAAAAAGTAAGAGGTTTTTCAACCTAATCTTGTACCATATGGTAGAAAACTATATGAAGCAAATATTCAAACCAGTTTGTTAAGGATATGTAAGTGAGAACCAAGAGTTATCACTGTTTGGATTTATTGCCCAAAAAGTGCTGCATATTTCATTCCCTCCGTTACCGACATGAGTTTTTAAATTTTTTGTCAACAACTTGAAAGAATATCACAGGTTTAACTTGACCCTGTTGGAGTGTAACTCTTTCCTACATTCTGATACTTTACTTATTTCAATAGTCCCTCTAGTTTCTGAATAAGAGACATTTGAATGTCAAAAATCTGCCCGTTTCCCTCCGTTACCACTTTACCGGACCCATGTGTTCTGTTTGCAGGTTTAGGTGCTGGAAACACAGGTGCAGTTGTGGTTGTAGTATTTTTTTTTTAAAACAAAGACCACAGCCTTTTTCTTTAAGTATGTCAAACACCAAGTCTTCACACACAAATCGACACAGTAATGCAATGGTCTTCCTCACTGTTCTCACAACAAGTCATTTTTTTCGTCTTTACCATTTATATTAAAGTCAATTGATTTTGCCCAAGAAGTTAAAGTGAATAAAGTCCGCTCTAAAACGCAGTGAATCCGCGCTCACCTTCAGTAAGGATTATGACAGAGACAAAAGTTTTGCAGCCTCATCTCCTGCTGCCCCCACTCCTCCGCGCTGCTATTATCTCCATAAACTCACGGCGGAGCGTAGGACTCATATCTGTCTCACTGTTTAATAGATATTTCTGCCGCTGGACTTTTCTCCTCTAAAAGTGTCAGCTCTGCTGCCACATGTAAACAAAGAGCGCCGTGTCCTTCATATAGCTACAGTCTACAGTGTTGGGAGTAACGCATTATAAAAGAAATGTATTACAGTAATGTGTTGATTTTTGCTGTAACGCAGTAATGTAAGGCATTACAGGGGGAAAAATTGTAATATTTTACTCGGTACAAATGTGAGTAACGCGCGTTACAATGTTTTTTTAACCTGGATTGAAGTGGTGGGTTTTTCATTTCGCTAAAATCACCGTGAAATCAGCAGCGGTGAAACGCCGGAGACGCGGCCGGATAAACCTTCAGGTAACCGCGGGCGAAAGGACCGACGCAGAACTCTACGCTGTTTAGACCTGGTTTAGACCTGGGTCACTTCTGGTTTAGACCTGGTTTACACTCGTCCCTCGCTCTAACGCGGTTCACTTTTCGCGGTCTCGCGGATTTTATTTTTTTTGTGCAATTTTGCATGCCTTTTGTTTTTAGTGTATGAACACGTGTTGCGTTCCTCCCGCTGCGTCCTGACTGGCCAAGGGACTCCTGTCTCCTCTACAGTACAGAATGTGTT